CAGCGTCCTCGCCGCCCGCTGAGACCTCTACTTCAAAGGGGTCATGGGCAACAACTTCAAGATCTGGCGCTCGCTGAACGCCGGAGGCGTCTCAGCCGAAGAACACAAGCTCACAGTGGAGGCCATGCAGTTCTCAGCCGCCATCACCACAGCCAAACCTCAGGGTCACGTCAACACAAGCCCAAACTCAGCCAAGTACACCAACAACAACAACAACCACCGATTCAACCCCGGTGGCCAACACCAGAAGAACAGGAGAGGCAGCTGTGGTACAAGCAGTGGGCCCCCGCTTTGGAATAAGTGCAACGGACAGCAGGAGCCCTCCTCCCTCAGGGAAGGCACCCGCCCATCAGATTGCCAGGCGCCGCGCCCATGAACTGAACCCAGATCTTCATGTCCTCCCACCCTCTTCCCCACACGCCACACACACCGGGTGCAAGCACATCAATGGTAGCCCTCTACATACCTCCCCACCGTCACCATTGACCAGAACCAGCGACCAACATTCTTCCTCACCAAGAGCTTCCCATCTCAATGAACCCAGACCCAGCCCTTCCCCTCAACACATGTCCATCGCCTTACCCACCACTCTCCACCGCACCAATGCCAGCTTGCCCAAGCGTAGTGCAAGCCTTCTGCAGTTGCCTGCTTCAATGGTGACAAGCCAGAGCGTTGGAGACCCTCCTCCAATGGGCAAGCCACAGCTTCTGTATCCCAATCAAGTTTCCCCCCACCCTGTGCCACCTCAGGAACCACTGCATGGACAACCTCCAAGCGGCGTTCCTGGATGAGGAGATCACTTGCCTACTCCATGAGAAGGCAATCCGCCTGCTCAGCCTAGGAGAGAAGGCAATGATCTCCCCCCTCAGTGTGGTCACAAAGAAGAACTAGGGTTTAGGGTTTAGGGTTAGGGTTAGGGTTAGGGTTAGGGTTTAGGGTTTAGGGTTAGGGTTAGGGTTAGGGTTAGGGTTAGGGTTAGGGTTAGGGTTAGGGTTAGGGTTAGGGTTAGGGTTAGGGTTAGGGTTAGGGTTAGGGTTAGGGTTAGGGTTAGGGTTAGGGTTAGGGTTAGGGTTAGGGTTAGGGTTAGGGTTAGGGTTAGGGTACGGTTTACGGGGTTTACGGGGTTTACGGGGTTTAGGGGTTAGGGTTAGGGTTAGGGTTAGGGTTAGGGTTAGGGTTAGGGTTAGGGTTAGGGTTAGGGTTAGGGT